CGGCACGGCTGGAGGAACCGACTCGAATGCCTCCGCCGCCACCCCGGAAGAGGAAAACCCCCAAGACCGCCTGAGTCTCAACCCAACCAGACCCCCCCCCCCAACCCCGAAACCCACCTATGGTTCGGAGCAGGAAGCAAGGGAGGAAGTGAGTAGAACAGAAGGGGAAGAACAAGGAGCGGAAGAAGCCAGAGTCAAAGCGACTCCCACCCCCAAGTCCCGACCACAACCACCAAAACAGGGCAGCCTCGGGGCATCTGGGGCCGCAAGCAACCAAGTGCGTTGCAGCAACATACACCTAGCAAGCAACGCCGCAGCCACCTGCACCCGATTATCAAGACCAGTGGCCTGGGTGAAGGAGAGCGCGTACCGACAACAATCATCAGACGACTCCGGGTCACAAGAACAAGGACCCAACAGGCACCATGGTGAAGGCACAACCGGTGAGTGTCACCCTGAGACAAGGGGACAGATCAACCGTCAAACTCGCAGGATGCGAGGGGGGGGGGACTCTGGGGACACACCTAGAGGACCACGGAGCCCCCGTGGGGTTTCCCAGGGCCCTTAGCCTTTGGTACACGCTAAGGGAAGCCCAGGCAGGGTACCGCAAACCGGCGCCCAAATCTGCCAACAAACTGCTAAAGCTGAACCCCCGGGACGTGTCCACTCACAGGGGCCAAGCGGGGAGTATTGCCAACAGAAGAATTCGAAAGAAAATCACCCAGAACAGGAAAGGGGAACCATAGTAAAGGCAGACCCCCCACCAGACAAAAACAAAAGAAAAACCCCGCATGAGGACAACGTACCCAGGCGGAACAGAGCCGGCCGCTGTTAATGGTGAAAACTAGCTGTGCAGTACCCCGCGCCCCTACCAGTGACAAAAACTACCACCTACCCAGAGACAAACCAGGGCAACAAAACCCCAGCCGACTCCAAGGGCGGCCCAGTACCGAGCAGTAAAGGACACAGCGGAGGTAGAACCCAAGGCGACTTGTGGAAGGTGGCTCCAAGCCCCAAGGGCAGTACTTACAGGGCACCTAAGGAAGATAGCCCTAGGCGCATGCAGCCCAAGTACCGTGGAATCTTACTCCTGGCTCACACCCCACCGGTAGAGACAGTCCACACCACAAGGCACAGAACTGAAAAAAAACCGGAGCCAGAGGCACTCGATCAGCCAGTAATACCATCAGCCAAGAACTGACAGTTGGATCGCCGGCGTGGAGGGTCTGGGGCTCCCCCTTCCCCCTCTCGGGGAGGGGGGGGGGGGGTTGCGCAGACAGTGGCGTGGCGACATGATGACGTCATGCTAGTTTGATAATTTTGTTTGGGGAGTTCTGTCCACTTGTTCGGCTTTTGGTAGCAATAATTTCACCAGAATAGGGGTTTGTTTTGGGGTGCCTACCTTTCTGGGTGCCTGTCCCGGTCGATGGCAGACATAGAATGCTCCCAATCACAAGGGGGTTTCTATAGGCCTTTGCTCCTCGTGCCTCTCTGAGGGGGCCAGGTTCTGGCTCGTGGTCCCCGGTAGGCAAGAACTCCTAGCACTTTGACTGATGACAGAAGTTATACATATCCATTCAGCCAGGATAGCTCCGGGGAGCCGACGGGGCTCCCCCCAGAAAACAGCCAAAGATGGGACTGCAGCTGCAGCAACTCCACTGGGAGGGAGAGACAAGGAAGCGGTCCAAGTCCCACACAATACCCAGCCCCCTCTCCCCAAGCCAAACCCCCCCTTCCGCCCCGGGATTCTCCACACCAGGACCCAGGGCAGAGCCATCCTCCAAACCCTCTGCCTCTAGAGAAAAAAGCAAAGTCCACCGGAAAAGCAGGAAAGAAGGGGGGGTCTGCTAGTCCGACCCAAAAGCCCTGGAAGGAGGAACAGGCTTGAATGCCCCTGCTGCCAAACCAGAAGGGGCAGCCTCTGAAACCGCCTGAGTATCACCACCATCGAAACCCTGCCTAAACTCTGAAATCCTCAGACGTTTGGGAGCCAGCAACATGGGGGTGGGGAACGAATGGACAACAGACGGGGAAGGACAAGGGGGCGCGGACGAAACCAAAGTTGAGGCGACTAACGCCCACAAAGTCCCTATACCCAAAGTGAGGCAGCCTTGGGGCATCCGGAATGGCAACCAACCTAGTGCGTTGCAGCAACCTAAACCTCGCATGCAACACTGAAGCTGCCTGCACCCACATATAAATATCAGTGAACTGGGTGAATTGGAGTACAAGCAAGGAACATCACTCGCAGGACTCTGAGTCAAAGGTATCAATGACCCATCAGGCAGCATGGCGGAGGCAAAACCGGCAAGTGTCACCTGAGACAAGGGGACAGCAACCTTCAAACTCGCACGAAGTGAGATGGGACTCAGAGGTCGCATGCACTGGATCAATGAGTCCCAATTGGGTTTTCCAGGGCCATTAGACTGACTCCTACAGGAAGCTCAGGCAAGGTACTGCTAATCTTGAGGTTATCTTGAGATGATTTCGGGGCTTAGCATCCCCGTGGCCTGGTCAAGGACCAGGCCACTGGTCCTTTTTGTTACACACCCCCAGGAAGCAGCCCATAGCAGTTGTCTAACTCCCAGGTACCTATTTACTGCTAGGTAATAGGGGCATCAGGGTGAAAGAAACTCTGCCCATTTGTTTTCGCCTCCACCAGGAATGGAACCCGGTACCCCAGGACTACGAATCCGAAGTGCTGTCCACTCAGCTGTCAGGCCCCTTACTAACCGGTTATCCCAGAACAACCTAACAAACAAATAAAAGCTGAACCCCTGCAACATGTACAATCACGGGGGCCTAGCGGAGGGCCACCAAAATAATACAAATGGTCCTACAGCCACACCAGGCAGACCCCCACCAGTCAAAGAAAAGGAAAAGAAAAACTCTGTTAAAGCACAACGTCTCCAGGAGGAACAGAACCTGTCGCTATGCATATAGCGGACAGCTACATAGTACTTTGTGCCCATGCCAGCAAGGATACTACCTCCTACCCAAGGACAAACAGTGGCAAGAAGGCCCCAGCTGACCCCAAGGGTCGAGCAGCAAAAGAACCCTGCGGAGGTAGTTCCCGAACAGTTTGTGGAAGGTAAACCCAAACTGAAAGGGCAGTACTTACAGGGCATCTAGTGAAGGTGACCCTAGAGACATGCAGCCACAGTACTTCTTGAATTACATCTGGCTCGCACACCACCATACTGCAACACCACAAGGCACACCACTGCACAAGGATCGGAGCCAGAGTCGAACGACCGCCACTCAACACATCATCCTCTAAGCTGGGGTTGGATAGCCAACATGGGGGGGTTTGAGGCTCCCCCTTTCGTGGAGGGGAGGAGCTGCGCACACAGTGGCGCGTCGGCGGTGGTGATGTCATGCTTGTTAGCTTGTTTTGCCCGATCCTCGACCAGGTCTCCTGGTCACTGCTAGACCTAGACCACTGCTACCGAGCAAATTAAACTCACAAACCAGAAGACACCTGATATGCCCTAGTCTTATCAGGAGGGTCAGAAAGAAGAGAGTATCATGGGGAAAACAAACCCCCCACAGGACTTTGGGGATGAAGGTGTCATGACCCAGTGGGGCAGCATAGCAGAGGCAGAATGAGTGATCATTGTCAAGTGACACAGATGATGAGCAATTTCTCAAACTTACACAATGTAAGAGCAGGTTCATGGGTGACATCCATAGGACCACCAAACCCACCAGGGATTTCTAAGGCATGAAGGGGTAAACCAAGCAGGACACCCTGGCATTGGGGACACTACGTTAGGCCTAAAAGTAAACAGATACAGCCTGGGTTACACAGCTGTGAAGGCAGACCTTGATGTGCTGAAAGAAAGCCTGTGAGCCACCAGTGTGCCCTACCAGTCATTGCACCCAAGAGCTGTTTTAAAACAGAAAGGCACAAGACCCTTGACTCACCCTGAACGAGGGCCACAAAAGCAAGAAAGACCTCTAAGGGAGCAACTTCCAAACACTGCAGAGAAGATGACTCTGGCAATGCAAAGGTAGTGCTAGGGAGCACACTGTGAAGGTAACCCTGAGGACATGCAGCTCCAAGCACTCTACACTCATGATAAACCACAATGTAGAAGAAAAGTCACTAAAGGCAAAGTCCCAAAACACTTAGTTGAGATAGTGGAGCCAGCAGGAAGAGGTGATCCTGGAACCATTACAACAGTCAGGTGACCCTACTACATCAGTGGAAGAACTGACAGCTCAAACTCCAGGAGTTGGTGAAACCCTTTCCCCACCCACCACCAGAGAGGGAGGCAAGGGCAATGGAGCTCATGCTGGCTCCAGGAGATTTGATTATTTGTTTACATAACTAGGAGAGTTCATTAAGCGGGGTTTGAGGCTTCGGTCTCTTTTTAAACCCAGTAGTTGATTGTTTCGACTTGCTGACTTCCTGGATGCCTCAACCAGTGAGGAAGCAAAATGTCACCGTTCCCTGCACCTCTAAGGAGGCCAGGTTTTGGTTGTGGCTTCCAGCAGATCTAAAGAGGCTGGATGACAACAGTGGAACCTTACAGTGGACAATTGACAGTGTCCACATCAGCGACACAACTGGCTTGGAAGGCTGGTGAGACCTGGAGCTCTGCATTCCCTACTGGTGAGTGCTAATGAGCTTGCACTAGTTTCAAGAGATACAATCGTTTATTTACATTGTTGGCGGAATTTGTTTGCTAGTTTCAAAGCTTTATTTCTTTTGAAGCCAGGAGTGGTCTGTATTGATTTGCCGACTCCAGTGTGGATACGGAGTGTTTCCAGCTCTCTCAGTCAATGAGGGGCCAAGTTCTGGTCCCAAGTAGGCTAAACAACTCCATGGCTGATGTGTCCCAGTAATTGCAAGCCATCTCAGTGAGAAGCTTCCAGGAGCCACAAGGGCTCCCTCAGAAAATATTTTTGGAAGTTTCTGATTTGTTGCATCTGGGTAGACGTGCATTGAACATATTTCCAGAGATGCACTTTAGGTGTTAAAAACAAAAACTTACAAATCCTGTAGCATTAAGAACAGATTCAATAATGCCAGCTATAAATGCAGCACAATTGATGGAGCTTTTGTCTCGTGGGACAGATATGAAGCGATTGACTAATGGTTCTTTTTCAATCAAGTAGTAAATGCGCTCATCATCTGTTGCTCGATCCAGTTTGTCAGCTTCTTTACCAAATAGGGACTGAAAAGCAGAGACAATTTATGAGTAAGTACATGTCACTTCCACATAAGAATCATAATTATTATTATCCAGTCAACCTTTTCAGACAAATATATTTTTAGAGCATATCTACTAATCAGTTATCAACTGAAAAGTAGATACCAGCTTACCATACCAGGATATATAGAATGGTGAAAATGCCAGGTTCCAGGTGAAGAAAGCATATCAGGGACAAGAACCATCTTTGAATGCCCTCATGGCTAGGAGACTCATGGGAATAAATGATCATCCCACTCAACTATCTTACAAGAAAACGTTTGGAGATATGCAAACACCAAACAAACTCTCTGTATACTAATACTCACTAATCTAGTTATCCCGAACACCACTAGGTGGCATCCTTTACTACTCAAAGGTTAGGGTGAACTGGTTCTCTCATACTCGAACCAAAAATAAACCCAACGCTGGTAAGCAGGACTTTATGGTGGCCACAGGCCACCTAAGTGTAATCCAAAAAACCAGCGTTGAATGTAATGAAACGCCATTTTCTGGGTGAGTCCCGGAGGCTCCCCGGAGCTTTCCCAGGCTGATATGCTAATGTCAGACTTTGACATCAGTCATGTGTATGGAGTTCTTAGGCCTACCGGGGACAACGGCCAGAAACGGGCCCCCTCAGAGAAGCAAGGGGAGCAATGGCCTATAGAAACCCCCGTGTGGTTGGAAGCATTCTATGTCTGCCATCGACCGGAACAGGCACCCAGAAAGGTAAGCGCCTCAAAACAAACCCCTATTCTGGTTAAAATTGCTACCAAAAGCCGAACTAGTGGATAGAACTCCCCAACAGAAAAACAAGCAAACTAGTGTGACGTCACATGTTGCCACGCCGCTGTCTGCGCAGCTCCCCCCTCCCCGGGAGGGGGAAGGGGGAGCCCCAGACCCTCCACGAAGGCTACCCACACCTCAGTTCTTGAGGCTAGATGTCAAAAAGCGCGAAAAAAACGCCGACCAGAGGGAGGGAGGGATGCTGGGGAGCCTCCGGGACTCACCCAGAAAATGGTGTTTCATTACATTCAACGCTGGTTTTCTGGGGAAAGCCCCGTCGGCTCCTCGGAGCTAACTACCCACAGACGGAAAAAGAGGGACTTACCCGGGAGGCGGTCATCGCTCACTCCTCAACTCGAAGCCGAGACAACTGTCTGCAACCGCCGACCCAAAGCAACACAGGCCCAACGGGGCCCAGGGACATTCACAAGGTAACGAGCAGCCAGGACCCTGTTCGACCGCCAAAATCCCCGCGCCCGAATATCAGGCCAAGACACATTCCCAAAGACGGCAGCAAGACCCGCGAACTTACGAACGTCATGGGCACGGGGATAGACTGCAGGCTGGCTGGACTTAATAACCCTGCGGACAACCTGGGAGACCCGAACCCGCGAACAGGGAAGAGGGGAAACCAGATCAACCCAAAGCACGTCCCCGGACACAGAAGACGTGGCGCGCAAATAACGGCGAAGCGCCGCAACCGGACACAAAACATGATGCACCCCCGGCCTGACCAACCAAGCATCAACCACCCATGGACCCCTCCGGAACGCAGCAGTCTCATTCTTCGCCAGAAAAGGAGACGGCTGCAATCGAACAAAACAATCACCACGACCAAAAAAGCAGAAACCCCTGCGCCGGAGGAGAGCATGAAGCTCCCCTACCCGACTCCCAAAGGCTAATGCCAACAAGAAAAGAGCCTTGGAAAAACAATTCCGGACCGAAGGGGCTGCAACGAAACGAGGAGACAAAAGGAAAGCGAGCACTCGGTCCAAAGACCAGGGCGGCTCAGGCGGCGCATGAGCAGGCCGAAGGTGAAACAATGCATGAGACAGCTTGTGAAACGGCGCAGACGTAACATCGATACCGAAGGCAAGCTGAAGCGGCTCTGCCAGCGCCGCACGATACGAGGCGACAGTGTTAGGCATAAGATGACAGTCCTGAAACAACCACGAGAGGAAGGACAAGACCACTTGAACAGACAAGGAACTAACACGACGAAGACGCAAAAAGAAACAGAAGGACCGCCAGGAAACTTCATACTGCCGCCGAGAAGAAGCCCTCAGGTGGGACACCAACAAGGAGGCCACCTGATCACCATAGAGATGATGATAAACCCGAGTAAAAAAACCATACGCGAAGACTCGAGGAGAAGATCGAACCAGCCACGTGACGTACCGACCCAATCTGCTGAAAGAACCCCGAGCCCTGGCACGACCCTTCCGGGAAGACCCACCCCGGGACCCCAGGAAAACCAACAAGTTCGACATCGGACGACAAGCCGACGACGCAGCCTGAATAAACTGCGCCACAGCCGACTCATCAAACAGAAGAGGACAAAAAGGCGAAGAACGCCTAAGAGCCAGAGCCCAAGCAGATTCCACAGAGGAACCCAGCACCGTCTGCCGACACGCGAGATGGGAAGCATAAAACAGGGAAACCGCATCCCGCAAAATCAGCGTGAACAGCTTCAACAAGGCAGCTCACGAACGCGCCGCCGAGGACAAGGCGCCGGATCCCGGGACGGACCCAAGCGTCCTCACTTCCTCCACGAGCCAATCCGAGGACAGTTCCAGGACGGAAAAGAACCGCAAGGCTGAAGCCAAAAGGCCCCGGGCGCGCAAGTCCTCCGCAATGAGAGCCACCGAAAGGGTGGGAACCTGCACATGGAGCTGAATAATGCCCACATCGCGGGAAAGGGCAGGGGCAAACAAGCAATCATTCAGGTACTCAAGATCGCCCCCCAGGAAAACCTGAAGCACCGTGGAAGCTTCCCGCCACTCCAGCGTGCGGGAACGACAGAAGGAATGCCAGGAATCCAGAACAAACAAGGGGCAGTCCGCTAGCCAGGAAGACTCTGGAACCTCGTAACGGAGCCAGAAAGGGAATGAAGTCCCAAACCTGAACTCGGACAGATCCATTTCTGAGGCATAATCCGGGTCACGCAGGAGGTATACCGCAAAGGCCACCCGCACCACACCAGGTTGGATGCGATAAGCCGAAAACCTCCGGAAAGACGGAACCGACGTACCCGGGGAAACACGGAACCGAACCCGGGGAGGGGCCGACACCAAATCCAACTCGTACGCAGAGGGGGGAAAAGAAAACCCCACTCCTTGTAACAATAAGCCTCGCTCAGAGGGAAGAAAAACCTAGGCGGGGTCCAGCGGGGCCCAAGGCCCCCAAGTCAGCCCCTCCCCAGCCTCGAGGTCCTTCACCACAGGACCCGGGGGCCAAGTCTTCTCCCCAAGCCCACAAGACAGGGACGGAGCAGCCATAGAAGCTGGAGGAAGGGGGGCCCACTGGTCAGACCCAGAAGCTTCGGCCGGGAGACAAGACTCGAATGCCTCTGCCGCCCCCCCCCCCCCCCCCGGAAGGGGCATTCCCCGAAGCTGCCCGAGTCTCGAGATCAAGTAACCCCTGCTCCGACCCCGAAACCCTCAGACGCTTTGGGGCCGGAAGCAGGGGGGGACCAGAACGAACAGAAGGGGAAGGACGAGGAGGTGCGGACTGAACCAGGATCGAAGCGATCCCCACCCCCAAGTCCGGGTCTCGAAAAGCAAAGCGGGGCAGCCCCGGGGCATCCGGGTGAGCAACCAACCGAGCGCGTTGCAACCGACGAAACCTAGACTGCAACGCACGTGCCGCCTGTACCCGAATAGAATCATCAGAGGATTGGGTAAATTGAGTCACAAGCAAGCAGCAACACTCACAGGACTCAAGGTCGAAAGTATCACCAACCCAACAGGCAGCATGGCAGAGGCAAAAACAATGAGGATCACCCTGAGACAAGGGGACCGAGCAACCCTCAAACTCGCACACAGCGAGCGGGGACTCCGGGGTTACATCCATCGTACCCCACGCGCCCCCTAGGGGATTCCCAGGGTCCTTAGCGTTTACTTTAAGAGGACTCGTGCTCAGGTAGTCCCAGGCAGGGCGCTGCTAACCGGTGCCCAAAACTACCAAGCGAACTTTTATAGCTGTACCCCAGGGACGTGTATACTCACGGGGACCTAGCAGGGGGTGCCACCGAGGAGAACAGTGGAAGGGCAAAAACTAGTGGAACAAGAGGGAAGAACCCCCTACCAGGCAAAAACAAAAAGAAAAACAAAACCCCGCAAGAGGACAGCGAACCCCAAGGAACAGAGCCGGCCACTAAGTCGGTAATACAAGTTGTGCAGCACCCTGCACCCCTACCAGTGCAAACTGCCTCTTATACCTGCCGGTAACAAGGGAGAACAGAATACCCAAGAGCCCAACAGGCGGCCGAAAAACCAAAAAGGGAAAACGGACCAGCAGAGGCAGACCCCGCGGAGCCTGTGGAAGGTGGCCCCAAGTGCAGTACGTAAAGGGCACCTAGGGAAGGAAGCCCTAGGCGCATGCAGCCCGAGTACTGAAGATAACTCGTGGCTCTTGCACCCACAAAAACAAACACCACACACAAAGCATAGTGCTGTAGCGACACCGGAGCCAGAGCACACGACCTTTGCCTATAGCATCAGCCTCAAGAACTGAGGTGTGGGTATCCGGCGTGGAGGGTCTGGGGCTCCCCCTTCCCCCTCCCGGGGAGGGGGGAGCTGCGCAGACAGCGGCGTGGCAACATGTGACGTCACACTAGTTTGCTTGTTTTTCTGTTGGGGAGTTCTATCCACTAGTTCGGCTTTTGGTAGCAATTTTAACCAGAATAGGGGTTTGTTTTGAGGCGCTTACCTTTCTGGGTGCCTGTTCCGGTCGATGGCAGACATAGAATGCTTCCAACCACACGGGGGCTTCTATAGGCCATTGCTCCCCTTGCCTCTCTGAGGGGGCCAGGTTCTGGCCGTGGTCCCCGGTAGGCCCTAGAACTCCATACACATAACTGATGCCAAAGTCTGACATTAGCATATCAGCATGGGAAAGCTCCGGGGAGACGATGGGACTCCCCCCAGAAACCAGCATTGAATGTAATGAAAAGCCATTTTCTGGGTGAGACCCGGAGG